CAAAAACAAAAACAAAAACAAAAACAAAAACAAAAACAAAAACAAAAATGGTAAGAATACCTAGATGCAAGGATGGTCAGGGACCACCCTGGAAGTTGAGTGCTATGCGTGAAATTTATGTCCAGGGCTCTGATTATCATCATAGACATCTAGTGGCTATTTGCCATTAGACTTGGCCATCTAAAAAAGAACTCAACAGTCATCTTTCAGATGATCATATATGAACCTAGTAGTATGATGACACATGCATGCATACACATATCTCATGCAGTATTATTGAACTTCCTGCAATGGAAATAAGGAATTGAGTTGAGATTTCCTATAGATATAGATACTTGCAGTAGAGTGCTGATACTTGCAGTCTATAAATGCAAAAATGGTGACCATGTTCTTTCTTCTTACTGCTCTGGTTAATAGTCTGCAAACCTGCTGGCAATGAAATCCAGTGCTCCTGTGAGACAGGCTATAGGTGGCCTCGGGAAAGGTGCCTCCATAACCTCACTTGTCAAGAGAATGACAGATCTCTCCCAGGGCACCACTGCAATTGTCTTAAAGAATTGCCTCCCAAGGGACCTTTTTGTCAGCTCCAGGGAGGTAAGTAACTGCTTATTAAATGTTTGGTGAGTGCTGTTTAGCATCAGCTGAAGAGAATGTTTCTCTGTTCCATGTGTTCTCAAACACTAACATGAAATTTTAAAAATATTTCCCTGTATTTTTTAGCAGATGTTATTCTGAGAATGTCAGTCAGACTAAATGTGGGCTTTCAAGAAGACCTCAGGAACACTTCCTCCGCCCTCTACAGGTCCTACAAGACCGACTTGGAAACAGCAGTAGGTATTGGCCCCAGCAGCATCTTAACCAACAAACTGAGCTGAACTGAGTCTATGGCATGCACAGTGAGCAGTTTACTTGGATCTGTCAGAATTTACAAATGTAGATTTAGTCAGTCATACACATCTGGTGAACTTAGAAGAGATTAAGTAGGGCACAGAAGTAATGTGTTATTCCAGAAAAGGTAAATCTCACACGGTGACTATGTTCAAACCCAGGCCCAGTCAGTCTGAATATGCCAGATATGTACACAAGTGCCCAAGGTCTGATGGACTGGAGCCCGGGAGGAGGGAGATCACAGTATACCCAGACCCTGCAGAGGGTGCTCCTCTTTCTCTCTCATGAAAATGTGGAAATTCTGTCATGACTAAAGGAAAAAATGTTTTTAAAAAGTGCTCAACTCAAACAGTGTTGGGACAATGAGACATCATCTTGATCTACAATTAGAACTTCTTCCCAGGATAAATCTGTTTCAGACAAGATTGGGCGGCCCTGACTCATTGAAACCTATTTTGATCCCCAAGAACTTAGGCCAGAAGCATCAGTAGGTGCATTTTTCTCCTTGACATAGTACATGGATGGAACCCCTAACATCTTTTGGGCAGATCCACCCAAGACTAACTACCCCACAAGAGAGGTTGCCAGGCATTAATGCTTATGACAGATTTGAATTTACTCACATAACAACAGAGAATATCCCATGAGTGTTAACTATGTACCAGGTATGATCCTAAGAGCTTTACATTAGATTAGTTTATTGAACTCTAAATGCTTTGCTTGACTTAAATCATTTGCAACCGAACTTCCAAACTAGTGTGACACAAATTATTACAGGTGGTCTGAGATAATAATATCCTTTATAATAACGTCCTGAGATAATAACTTCTTCAAAGATCTTCTAATGTTAGTGCCAACAAAATATACAAAATATTTTATGCAGGATGTTAAGGAATATGTGCTTTTTACTCTTTTAAAATGTTTTGGCGTATATCTCACTAGATTTTGATACATACTTCCTGTTTATCCAGTGATAGATAAGTATTGTTATTTTCCATAAGTGCCATTATGAAGTGCTGATTCCAAAGAGTTCTTAGACATCTGATTTGCATATCCCACATGTAATAATTCTGGACAGCAGGAGACTTCTCTTCACACCCAGCACAAACTAAGTCATGTACTTAAAAGGAAATATTGGCGTATTCATCTTTGAGTCCTGCCTGCTCATGTATTTGGCTCAGTACATTGCACCTTATAACTGCCCTATAAATGTAACCACAGTCAAATGAAATCTCCTGTATAGATGATATTAAGAGAAACAAAGGGTATACAAATTTTATCAACAACCACATTGGCTTACCCAGCCCTACAACCAGTGAGGGTTAAAGGAGTGCCCTGACCATGAGGATGCCCTTCACAGATCTCCAACTACAGGGCATGTAATTGAGCAAGGACCCCAGCTGCTTTCTCTAAAATCTGTGGCCATGTTTGCTGCTCCCCGCCAATGACTGAACTTAGCAGATCTGTGTCTGGCAGATACTGAGGACTCCCTGGAATGCCTTATTGAACCTTCCCAAGCTCTGTTTGAGTACTTTCATCCAGCCTTCCTCTGTCTTTCTCTCAGTTTGCTGGCTCCCCCTGCCTACCCTACTCCATCACCATTTAGTTTCCCACGTCTTTCCCTGAGTAATGTCTTTGCACATTTAAACAAGTGCCTGTCTCTTGGAGAACCCAGCCTGACAAAAGTAGTTAGAAATAACTTCTTCAAAGATCTTCTAATGTTAACGTAAACAAAATACACAAAAGGTTTTCTGCGAGATTATAAGGAATATGTGCTTTTGACTCTGTTTCAAATCTTTTGGCATATATCTCACTAGACTTTGATACATGACACTTACCTTGCTTTATTTTTCAGTTCTGGAAGGGTTACAGCATTTTACCAGGCTTTAAATGGGTGACTGTGACAGGGTTCAGGTAAGAATGCTATAATAGGTCATTTCTATCTGATGGCAGGGGCAACATATTAATGAAGGGGGGGAACCACTAGAGAGACATCATATGGAATGCTCAATGGGAGCACGATGGTAGAGGGTAAAACTTAAAGGGGCTTAAAGGGAAAGGACATAGTGAAATAAGTAACTCATTCCTTAGAGGTATACCCTGTTTAGAAGGACGTATGGCAAGACTGCTCATTATGCACATGCAAGAATTTTGTAAACAAAAATATGGGTTAAGTTTGTACTCTAGAGAGTTCAAAAATATACAATTGAAACACTGTCACACAATGATGTCTTTATATAAGCAGATTCTTCCAGCCAGTCTAGACTTTTGAATTGTATCTTCCAGTATGAATGGTTGCCCCAGAGGTGGGTATCCTGTCAACCCTAAATTGGTTTGCCCAATGTTTCAAAGACTTCCATCCCAACGGTAAAAATCAGGAATATGTACACTAAATCATATACTTTTTTTTTCTTCCTTTTTTTTTTTTTTTGAGAGGTTTTTGCTATAGGGCGCGTGCATTCACCAGACAGACAGAGAGAGACAGAGAGTCAGAAAGCGAGAAATCACCCCCCAGGGGGGATGGCCATGCGCAATCCTTCTCCTCCACATTCCTTTCAGGATGTTGGGCACTCATGCACACGCGCCTGGCGTGAGTTTTAAGCCACCGGGTCCAGAACACCAACCGCAGTCGACTACGTGGGAGTCCAGCGACATAGCCATTACGCTAACTGCTGGTCTCACTAAATCATATACTTTAAAGGAAAGAGTTATATATTAATCTCAGGTCCTGTGTGGTTTTGGCTTCATGTAACATTTAGTATATTTGGTAACCTGGACCAGCATGGCCACGTAATGACAGTCAGTAGACTCTACAGTTTTGCTACCTCCTTATGACCAACCAGATTGTGCAACTCAATTTACTAATCCTCATCCAACTACTTCATTGGTTTAAGTTAACCCATCTGCAGACTGTTGGGTGTGCAAGCTCTGCCTTGGGCTTTTATCTGGAGCTTGAAAATAGGCTCATTTCAGGGAGCTCCTAAGGATAATAGTATCTAGTCTGTTCCTGCTATTTTGTTTTCTTATGTAAATAAACCAGAAGAATCTAGACTCTTCCAGATCAGTTACAACTTTACTGAAATGAGTGGTCTCTACTCAGGCCGGGAAGTGTGGTCGTGACGTATGAAGTGAAAACTACAACACCATCATCGGGATTAATGCGTAAAGCCAATGAACAGGTTATGCAGAACCTCAATCAGACCTACAAAATGGACTACAATTCTTTTCAAGCAGTTGCTAGTAGTAAGTGAGACATCGTTACATTTTCTTCATCTGTTATGTTTAAACCTAGGTAATTATGCCAAGATGTCTTCTGTGGAGATAGATTGTCCCCTTTCTGGCACAGAGGGTCATGTGTCATGTCTCTCTCTTAGGCCAATGCAGCTCAATCTGGCTAAAGTCTCTGTATCTGGGTTGTTCAGGGAGGGGACAGGTACTTCACAAGGGAGTCACAGAGCCATCTGGGTTTGTGGATTTTCTTAATGAACAGATTCAAACATCCAAAAAATAAAATTAATACTGTGGCGGAGTTGAGGCAGTTATAAAATGCACTGATACTAAATAGGGGATTTTTTTAAAAAAATTTTTTATTATTTTTTTTTAGAAGTAAGTCTCCAAATGTGACTTTTAGACCAGTAGCATTAACACCACCTGGAAACTTGTTAGAAATGCAAATTTTTGAGCCCAACCCAGACATAGGCCAAGCTGTGTTTCAACAAACCTCCAGATGATGCTGATGCACAAGAATGTTGGAGGGCCACATTTAACAGTGGTACATCCTGTGCTTTAGCTCACATACGACAGGAGTAAATCCTGGGATTTCAGATAGTGTCTCCCATCTTTCCAGTGGAATTCCTAGTTACATTCTCATTTTATTACATGGGTGGAGCTATTTTTACTTGGGGGATACTAAGGAGAGCTGGCCAAGCAGAGACTTGATGAACATAGATTAGTAGATATCTTTGATAACTAAGGTCCAAAATTCTGGAGTAGCATCAATTTCTCTTTTGAGTCAAATGGTCTGCCATGGAAGAAGGCCCTTAGAAGATTGTCATAGGTACATCTAGAAGAAAGAGATCCCCCTTGCTCAAGACTTAGGTTTTCCTTTTATACATTTATACCCTTTTTGCTTACATTCTCTGCTTAGTTTAGACAAGTCACTTTTATTTTTATTTTACTTTGCAAGTTTTTTAGGTTTTTGCCATAGGGGATGTGAGCTCACCAGAGAGACAGAGAGACTACGAGAGGAAATGTGAGAAATCACCACCCCCCCTCCCCCCAGGATGATGTCCGTGCTGCAATCCCTTCTCCTCTGTTCTCCTTCCTGAATTGTGGGCATGCATGCACATGTGCCCAGCATGATTTCAAGCTACCAGGTCCAGGACTCAAACCACAGTTGACCAACTGGGAATCCAGTGCCTTAACCACCAGGCTACCAGCTTGTCCTGACAGGTCTTTTATAATTTTTATTTATTTATTTATTTTTAGAGATTTCTGCTATAGGGCATGTATGCTTGCCGGAGAGACAGAGAGAGAGAAAATGAGAAATCATGCCCCAGGGGAGATGGTCATGCCACAATCCCTTCTCTTCCATTCTCCTCTTAGGGTCTTGGGCAGGCATGCACATACATCTGGGGTGAGTTTTAAGTCACTGGGTCTGGGACTCTAACCGCAGTCAACTACATGGAAGTCCAGCAATGTAACCACTACACCATCTGCTGGTCCCCTGACAGGTCGTTTTTAAAATAAAGTATTGAAGATGATAAAACTAGCTAAGGAAAGCATAAAAAAAGATGTATGGTGATAAGGTGCTACAGTATAAGCAAGATAAAATAGCAAAATAAAAATTAAAAATAAACAAGACAGCAAAACAAATCAAAACTATAAAATTAAAGGAAAGGGAATGTGTGGTCTGAAAGTGTGGAGTCTCCTGGGAACCATCTCAGCAATGCCATCCTTTCCTGACCCTCATATCACCCACTAAACAACAGATGTGCTTTCTATGCCTTGAAAACTTATTTTTCTTTGCAGTTCTGAGGATAAAGGAGAAGAGCAGTTATTAACATTGTTAAAATTCAGTTGTGATTCCTCTTTTCCAAAAATGCTGGTCATGCTGAGGATGGTCAACTGTTCAAATAAACAAGTATCCAGCAATTTTACTGATTGGACTGTCAGGAGGTTGGTGGTGACACACAGTTCACTAAAATGAACTCTGCTTGTTCTTCCCAAGTGCTGTGATGTCATTGTGATTGGCACTCACCAAGCCCACTGCAGAGAATCTCAAACACCAGACACCAGTCTGTGATTCTGTGACACGTACAGCCTTAGACCAGTGAGCATCAGCTTATATCATGTGCATTCCCATGGGGACCTCAGAGAGCAGCCTGCTCCTCACAGTGTTGATGTTGCTAGACTGCAGTACAAATGGCCCAAAATTGAAGTGATTGAGTATGTGTGTGTGGTTTTTTTTTTTAAATTATAATCACATTTGACAAGTGAAGAGAGCAAGAAAAAAAAATGTTGACTACATGAATTGGTTTCAAGGACTTATTTATTTATTTATTTTGCATTTTGATGTTTGGTGCACCCAGAATAAGATTATTATATCTTCTTTAGTTATCATTTTTATGTGTAGAATGTATAATGGCGACATCGGGGTGATTAGTGTGCCTATCATCTCAATCGTTCGCAACATTATTACAACAGTAAGTTGTTGGTAACCACGTTCTCACAACTGTTTACATATTTTATCTTCATATAGCCAAGGAGGTTTTTTCCTCCATTTTACAGTTGAGGAAATACAGGCTTAGAGAAGGCAGATCATTTACTCGGGGACACAGAATAAGTAATACAAGCTTGTGTGATTGGAAAACCAGTGTCCACTAGTAAATATCCACAGACAATCTTTTTGCCTAATCATTGGATGTGATTTTTAAAGTTTTTTAACCAGGGGACTAAAAATGAATAAATAATTATTTATGTATTATGTATCTTTGTAGTTTGACTGGAACATCATACCACCCAAAATTACTTTTATAATATGTTATTTCCATATTTATAATACATAGGGGCTCTGGCCTGAGCATAAAGTTCCAATGCAAAAGTGACTTCATAGGTCCTCTGTACCCCTTTCTCTGATTTCTTCAGTACATGTAACTCATATGAGGAGGGCATTACAAAAAAAAAAAAAAAAAATTTAAAAAAAAAAAAAAAAAAAAAACAACTTGAAAAGAAAAAAAATAAAATAAAAAGTGCATGTTATGTAAACAAATGGCATCCACAAAAACTCCACACAAATAATCAATGATATGTTTTTATTTTTATTCATGAGATGACTTAATGCAGTGGTTCCTGGAATTTTACTGCCTAAACTTACAACTGCATTATTTCCAAAGGTAGTCCTAAGGGAGCCAAGCATCTGTGAGACTAAACAAATTCCCCAGGCCTACAGTTACGTGTGAGCACCAGGGTTCGAATGCAGACCTGTCTGTAACACTCCCATTCCTAAGGGTCGATGAGTATTAAATCTTTTTTTTTTTTTGAGAGGTTCTCGCTATAGGGCGCGTGCACTCGCCAGACAGAGAGAGACAGAGAGACAGAAAGCGAGAAATCACCCCCCAGGGGAGATGGTCACACCGCAATCCCTTCTCCTCCATTCTCCTCTCGGGATCTTGTGCACACTCGCACACGCGCCCGGCATGAGTTTTAAGCCACCGGGTCCGGGACACGAACCCCAGTCGACTATGTGGGAGTCCAGCAACATAGCCATTATGCTAACTGCTGGTTCTGAGTATTAAATCTTAAAACAAAAAAATCAAAACTTGTCTCCCAAGTATAACTTATTTACTATTAATAATGAATTTGTTTTCCTATTTCTAACTCATGGAAAACTTAAGTCAGAGCTTTCAGTGAGCATGAAATAATCAACTATTCATTAAGAACAGTTAATATTTTTTATTCTTTTTAAAACACTTTGCTGAAGGGTGTGTGTATTTGTTGGAAAGAGACAGAGAAAGTAAGAAAGTATTCCCCAATGGAATGGTCATGCTACCACCTCTCCTTCTTTATCTCTCCCACCCTTCAGGATTTGGGACAGACAGACAGACACACACACACACACACACACACACACACACACACACTTGGCATGTTTTTCAAGTTGCAGGATCAAAGACTTGAACTGTGCATTTGGTTAAGTGGGATCCAGCCATCTTAACCACTATGCCACTGACTGATTCCATTTAGTAGCACAGGAACTTGATGTTTATGTTAGTTCGTGTGTTTATCTCATAAACAAATATGCAACTTTCAATAGGCTTTTTGAAATATCGGAAATATATACCTTTGAGATCCCAAATACTGTCATTACCTTTTTTTTTTTCTTTTTTTAGTTTTTGGCCTAGAGTGCATGGACTCACTGGTGAGGGACAGAGAGAGACAGACAGAGGTGGTGAGAAATACCCTCCTGTGGGGATGGCTGTGCAGCAATCCCTTCTTTTCCATTCTCTCTGGGATTTGGGGCACACATGTTCATGTGCCTGATTTTCAAACTGCCAGTTCTGGGCCTTTAATGGCAGTCAGTCACTTGGGAGTCCAACACCTTAACTACCATGCCACCTGCTGACCTTACCACTGAGCATTCTTAAGTGCCCTACTGACACATGATGTGAAGAATCAAAACTGGAAGCTATGTCCCTAGTCTCTAGTGGCTGTATCTCTTTGGGCCTCAAATACCAGCAGCGTGGGCATGGAGTAAGGGGCCAATTTGCTTCATCCTGTTTAACACCGAGAGGCTGCGGAGGTTTCATGAGAACCCTAGGGTGGAGGCATCTGGTGAGTAACATCAATTACATTTATTTCCTGTAGGGTGCTAATACCTCTTCTTTGGATTTCCAGATGAAACTAAGTTCTCTGTCATACCAGAAATCATCTTTGAAGGGGATACGGTAAGTCTGGTGTGTGAAAACGAAGTCATGTTCACCAACGTGTCTTGGCACCACGTAGAAAGGCATTCCGACATCCAGAACGGCAGCAGATTCTTTATATACACCTCCATGCTCAACAACATGACCTCAGTGTCACACCTCACTATCTACAACATCACCCAGGCTGATGCAGGTGGGTATCTACCTGTTCAATAACTTCTGTGAGCAAAGGCATGAAGTGTTCATAAAGAAGCATGCTGGATAATATGTAGATAGTGTTCTCCTCAAAAAGGGGTATCCTGGCTCAACCTTTCAAAAACGACTAAATTGGGGCCAGCAGGTAGCATAGTTGTTAAGGTGCACATGGTCGACCACAGTTCGAATCCCAGGCCGGGCAGATTGAAACTCATGCCTGGTGCATGTGCATGAGTGCCCAAAATCCCAAGGGGAGAATAGAGGAGAAGGGGTTATTATGTGGCCATCCCCCTTGGGGGATGATTTCTTACTTCCTCTCTCTCTCTCTCTCTCTGTCCCTCTCTGTCTTTACGGCAAGTGCATGGTCCCTATAGCAAAAACCTCTACAAAAAAATACAATACCAAAACTCACTAAATTAATTCTATGGCATTAATTAATTTTACAATTAGTTATTTTTATTTTATTTTAGTATCTAATGTTATTTTAGTATATAATCTTATTTTAAATCAATTTAATTTTCAAAATTTTATACAATTTAAAGTAGCTTTGTTGGACATAAAATATTGTATTTATTTAAAGCATATAACTTAGTAATTTTTGACACATGTACAGCTGCAATGCCAACACCACAATCAAGATAGCAAACATAACCATCCCTCCTTCCACATTTTCTTGCAGTCCATCGTAATCCTTCCCTTCTGCTTCCTCCCACCCTCCTCCTCACTCCAAGCAACAACTGAAGTGTAAGTCTTAACTCTTTATTAAGACTAGTGATGAACCAGACACATTCCAGAATTCAAACACCCACTGAATGCATGTCAGCAGTGCCATCTCTTTTTTCTCTGCATGAGAAGGTAGGCTGTAAGCAAATAGGTCTTATCATATCCTTTTGATTCTAATTTTACCACAGGGATAGATAAGAAAGCAAAATTATTCACGACCCAACTCTCCAAAGCTTTCCAACATTTCTCTCCTACCTTTTCCTTCTTACAGTTTTTTTTTTTTTCTTACTGACAAAATCCCTGAGATTTCTGCTATTCTCATGGACTATTTCTCTGCTCCTTATCTTGTGTCATCACAGAGATCTACACTGACCCTCTGCACTTCTTGAACATTTCTTTAGGAGTGTTAACACCAAGTGCCAGATGCTTTGGAAAATGATGCTTCATGAAACACTGTCATGACCCATGAAATGAGGCTATTATTATTCATCTAAAGAAATACAAATATGTAGCAGTAATAAATATTTTGTGTTTTCTTTGCAGGGGAATATGTTTGTAAATTGATACTAGATATTTTTGAGTACGAGTCCAGAAAAAAAATAGATGTTACCCCCATCCGAATTTTGGCAAATGAAGAAATGAAAGTGATGTGCGACAACAGTCCTGCATCTTTGAACTGCTGCAGTGAGGACAATGGGAACTGGAGCAAAATAGAGTGGAAACAGGAGGGCAAAATAAGCATTCCAGGTGAGAATGTGATAAACTCATCTGTAAATAGATGTTTGTCTCTTGGCCGAGTAAAAATGGAAGATGTGGACGATGGAGAAAGTATCAAATGGCTATTTTTTTTTTATGGACTTTAGACTATGACTTTAGTTTTGATGTCAAGCTATAGCTTAGCCATTACAGAACAAAGTTCAAAAAAATCCATGCATTAAGTGTCAAGTCTGATTTGTAGACGAGATTCTGGCAGCAGATGATCCAACGGGGAAGGATCCCAGTGACTAAGGTCCATGGTGTCTCCCACCTACAGAAAAACTTGTCCCTACCATCTATTCCATCTTCACCAAAGAGTCAAGGATGAGATCCTTGACTTTTCATTGAAGTTTGACTTGAGTTTTTCATTTCTGTCTCTCTTCTTTTGATGTCTCTTCTCACTTATCTGCCTTTGTATTCATGCTTCCCTCAGTATTTTCTATGTGTGTGTGTGTGTGTGTGTCTGGCTCTACATCTTCATTTTGTGTTTTAATTGTTCCATATCTGTTTCTTTTTCTTTGTTTGTTATAAGTGCATGCATTTGGCTGAGAAAGTAAGAAATCACTCCCCGGAAGGGATGACCACACCACAATCTCTTCTTCTCCACTTTCCTCTGGGGATTTTGGGTACCCATACACACATACCCAGTGTATTTTTCAAGCTTCTGGGTTGAGACTTGAACCATGCAGTTAGCTATGTGGAAACCAGCTATCTTAACCTCCACACCACCTATTCACAATCCCCCCATCAACTTCTGATCCTGTTTGCTTTTGTTTTAGATCTTGGATCTAATCTGAAGCTCCCCAGCTTCTAGTTGATACTGATGATTAATAAACATAATGAATTAGAACAGTAATACTGTTTTGCATAATGGCTTATAATTAACCCATTCAAAAATATATTTTATTTCATCACATTTAAACTTGATCACAAGTTTGAGACAGGCATTTTTACTTCCAATTTGCAAATAAGGAAATTAAGGTCAAGATTCAATGACTTATCCAAGGTTATCACAATATGAAAAAAAAAAAAAAGAAAAGGAATTGGGACTCACAACAGATCTTATTTCACACAACCAGTGTTTGTCTTGGCCAAATTATATTAGCCATGCCTGGTGAGCCTGCACCAGAGAAAACTGGCCTTGTGGAGTTCAGCCAGAAGTCTAATTTCTGCCTAGAAACCACAAAGAACAAAATCCAACTCTTCTCTTTTCATTAAAGAAAAAAATCTTTAAAGCAAATATATCTTTACCAATGAAACACATTAGTGAGGTGAGTCTTTATTTTACAGAGCCTTGCTCTTGAAATATATAAAATTATTTTTTACATGACCTATTTATATGCACAATTTCCTAAACAAATCTATTTTGCAAAGCACTTTTCACCTGCTGCACTTATGGTCAATGGGAAAGGCATCTGGTAACTGTTGACAATATCGACACATGGGAGATTTAGTCACTTCCCTTATTTTCAAGGAAGAGGCGATGAAGGCATCCTAAGGGAACTGTCACATGAGAGGCGTTGCAGACTGCACTGCCTTAGACGTTACCAATCCTAGAGGTGAAAAGCCTCACCCTTTGGCAAAGGAACCAGGAAGTCTGTGGTGCGGATGCTCAGAAACCTCTTCTTAAGACATTCCTAAGGCCCCATTGGAGCTGAGTGACTGTGTAACAATGGGTTTCCTGCCATGGGATGGCTGCCTGGGGACTCACACAGGCAGTTCTCTGATGACTTTAGCTTGTGCTCTGGCACTGGGCCAGGCTGCCTCTTCCCCTCTCTCTGGCTTTTATTTTTTTTTCCCTGTAAATTCCACACATTCTCACAGCACCCATTTTTCCAGGTCAGTAGAGAGTAATCTAGCAGAAAGAATTCATCCTAAAGCATTTAGACTTGAATTTATGACCTTCACTTGGAAACAGCTGCATTTTCAAAGCAGCTACAAAAGGGTAAGACAGAAAGGAAGTAATCAGCATTGATAGGATTTCTAATTTAAAGAGGAATGCTATCCACTGAAGATTCCCCACCACATTAAGGACAAGGGAAGGGACGTTCTTTAAGAGTATCTTTATTGCCATAAAATAATCATTATGGCAGTTTAGCTGTCCATGAGCAGCAAACTCATTCTCTCTTATGGAACCTCTCTTCTAGGCATTATCGTCATCCCTGTACATCTCTTTACACACTGCATCCTGCATAGCTCATTGTCTTGTGCGTTAGTTTGTTGAAGAAGCTAGGCTTCAAAGATGAGGGAGAGACAAGAAGAGGAAGAGGAAAGGAGCTTATTCCACAGGCATTGAGATGTGAAGTCACAGGACATGTTGAAGATCCAGGGCATAGCCTAATTTTTAAGAGATGAATATAGAACAAGAAAAATAGAAGGGAGGCCAACTGAAATCATACTGTAAATAATTGCATATACCATGTTAAGGGGATTTTATTTTATTCTGTAGACAATAATAAAATGCTAAAGATAAGAGTCAAATGGTTACAACTAAAATTATTTTTAGAGAGAGATTTTTGCTACGAGGCATATGTGCTCGCCAGAGAACAGAGAGCCAGAAAGCAAGAAATCACCCTCCCTCCCAAGGGGGGGGATGGCCACTACATAATCCCTTCTCCTAGTCTCCACTCAGGATTTTGAGCATACAAGCATATGCCTCTAGCATGAGTTTGAAGCCACTGGGTCCAGGACAGGAACTGTGGTCGACCATGTGAGAGTCCAGTGACATAACCATTATGCCAATTGCTGGTTCCTACAGCTAAATTTTTTTCTAAGTTTTTGATACAGGACACATGTGTTCAACTGAAAGAGAGAGAGAAAGTGAGAAATTACTCCCCAACAGTGATGTCCATGCCACAAACTCTTCTCCTCCATTTTCCTCTTAGGATTTGGGACATGCATGCTCATGTGTCTGTCATGATTTTCAAGCCACCAGGTGGGGACTTGAGCCACGCAGTCAGCCATACAGGATCCAGTGCCTTAAGTTTCTTGGGTTGACTTATAGTTGTGAAATGTTTCAAACGTGTAAGCTAAATGATTTTTATGATTGGGTAGGAGTAGAACGTGAGGAAATAAAAATAATTGAGGATGACTTTGAGATTCTTAATTTGGGGAGCTGCCAATGCAAAAAGGAAACAAGGAAAAATGTGTGAGTTTTGTCTGGGGAGAAAAAAAATGATTTGGTCATGTTGAGTTGGAGGCACTTGAGATATCACTTAGAACTTTGAGATTTGGTTTGAAAGTTTTCAACAAGGACATTTCTCTTAGAAATACAGTGGGGAGTCTTTCAAGTATAGGTTATAATAGAAGCCATAGGTCTAGATAAAATTGCCTAGCAAGACAGTAGAGAAAAGATGATGAAATGAACAATATCAAAACATGAGGGGAAATATGAGTATCCTGAGCAATGTCAACATTTAAAAAGAAAACAGGATAGGGATCAGCAGATGGCATAATGGTTACATCGCTAGACTCCCATGCAATTTGAAGCTGGACCTGGTGGCTTAAAACTACTCAGGGCATATGTTTGTGTGCATGCCCAAGATCCCAAGAGGAGACTGGAGGAGAATGGATTGTGGCATGGCCATTATTCCAGGGGATTGATTTCTTGCTTTCCGTCTCTCTGTCTCTACAGTGAGCATACATGTCTAATAGCAAAAATCTCTCTATATATATAGAAAGGAAAGAAAGAAAAAGAAAATGGAATAAAAGGAGTCTAGAAAAGAGACCCAGAAAGAGGAATGAGAAGAAAAGAGAAAGAGGAGAGGTCTATGGAATCAAGCAAGCCAAGTGAGAGAGAAGGTGGTCAGCAGAAAGCAATGATGCAGTCGAGGCAGTGTGCGAAGAGGGTCCTGGATAAGAAAAGAGGAGATCACTGTTAGCTTTAAAGGAACACTTTCAGGGGAGTAGAGGGTGCCAAAGGCCAACTGCCAAGATTTGAAGGAAAATGGGAGCGAAACATTGGAGGTGTCAAATGCTGAAGCACTGTGGTATGACGGGAGGAAGGAAACGCAATGATGGACCAAGGAGCTCTCAGATTGAGAGAGACCAGTTAAGAAGGGAAGACTTGAGTATACCTGGGAGTTACAGTAAAGAGCTAGAGGGAATGGTAAAGACACAAGGGAGAGGAAAGGGAAAGATGGAGTAACAATCTGAAGAAAGTAGCTTTTCAAAAGGTAAGTGGGGGGATGGGCAGTAAGCCATAGAGATGCATAGACACTTGTGCCTATGAGCTAAGAGGTACTTTAGTTAAAGTGGATCAAGATAGAAATCAATCTGGCATTTTGAACAACCATTTGAATGACTAGGGAGAAATATCAAAATGTATCAATTTTATTTTTTTTTTTTTGGAGAGGTTTTCGCTATAGGGTAGGTGCGCTCGCCAGACAGACAGAGAGAGACAGAGACAGAAAGTGAGAAATCACGCCCCAGGGGGGATGGTCACGCCGCAATCCCTTCTCCTCCATTCTCCTCTCGGGATCTTGGGCATGCACGCACACGTGCCCAGTGTGAGTTTTAAGCCACCGGGTCCGGGACGCGAACCACGGTCGACTACGTGGGAATCCAGCAACATAGCCATTACACTAACTGCTGGTTCCCAAAATATATCAAATATTAATCATTTAGCCGGGGCTGAAAGACACATTATTTCTGTTGGAACCAATTGGCTTATTCCATTTTTCACTTTTGGAAGACAGGCAGTGCTTGAACAATGCCTTAGAAGTGCATGATAACAGGTGAGATGGGAAGAGCTAAGAGACCGGAGTAGGGAAAATCAGCTGCCAGGATGTTGTACAATCTTAGGCAAGAGGTAAAGTTGGCTCGAAGGGCATGACATTTCTGACAAAGGAAAGGAAGATATGCAAAGGGAACTTATTTTGAAGAGGAAACTGCAGGTAACTGAGAAAGCAGGAAGTTGAAGCTTCCACTAGAACATAAGAACCTTCAAAGGGAATAAGCTATGAAAATGCCTCTTGAATAAGGTCAATACCAGATATTATAGTATTGTTTCTTTCTCTCTTCAATAATAGCATTAGGATAAATAATCTGATTTTTTCCCCTTCCCAGTTAAAATCATACCCAGACACCTTACTTCTCTTTTTCATTTTTCACATCTCAATGACAATTACTAATTGTTCTAAGTGTTTGGATGTATTATCTCATTTAATCTGATTGTAGTCCTGAGTGTATAAACTCTGATCTGTCCCTAATTTACATCTAGAGAAACTGAGGCACAGAGCAGTTAAGTGACTTCCTCAATAGTGCTATGCTAGTAAGTGGTAGAGTTTGGGATTGGAAACCAGGCAACCTTCATCCAGATTCTGAAGACATGACTTCTCTATTCTCCGTCTTCTTTAAATAGAAAAGAAATCTCTTTAAATAGCAACTTTTTTTTGCTTCTTTGCTACAAAATCATAAAGTTGGCCAACTGTGACAGCAAAAGAATTGTTTATGTCATTCTAGGAAACCCTGAAACAGACCTGGATTCTGGCTGCAGTAAATACACCCTTAAGGCTGATGGAACCCAATGTCCAAGTGGGTCATCTGGAACAACAGTTGTCTACACTTGCGAGTTCATCAGCACTCACGGAGCCAGAGGCAGTAAGGACATAGAAGTGACATTTACCTCTGTGGGTAAGGACTCTTTCACTAGACGTTTTAGCCATAAATATCCTATACCCTAAATAAAGACTGGGAATAAATCTACTAGCAAAATGTAACAGGACCTTCCCTGGGAGTGAAACTGTGGTAGGGACAAATTATACTATGCGAAATAGAAAAGTATTTCTCTCTGCCATTTGAATTCAGATGGAGTTGTTTTGTTTTTTATTTTTTTTTTTAAGTCAAGGAGGGTAGGGGTGGGAAACAGTGGCTGCACAGAGGTATCAGCTGGGTTATACTGGTGAGGCAGAAGGTGAACCGGCAAGTAGGGTTTCACACACAGTTTAGGCCTACTATCACTGAGTTTATAATGAAGATAATGCCCCTCCTTATCTCTTTTTATTCCCCATAGTTCCATTTTTCCTCCCCTAAAGCCCAGCTTACTCCCTCACCACCTCTCAACTACATCTATCGTCTTTCCCCTCCCATTTCACCCGTTCTAGAGATAATGCTACAGAAAGTTTTAATAATCTATTGCTTTGTGGTTGTTTTACAGTTAGAACAAGTGCTTTTTAATCTCTCAATTAATTTAGTTTATTAGCTCTCCTACAAATATCATTTCTTCTTGTATTGTAAAGTATTATAATTTCATCCCTCTATGCAAAAATTGGGCATTCAAATTTGTTTTTTCCACCTGTCTTATAAAAATGGACCATTTAGATAAATCATTAGATCCTTCTTGAGCAACTTAGAGGAAGAATTGCTATGGTAATGCTTGTGACTCTAGTTCACATTTTCTGCTTTTGTGATTTAGCATTTTCACAAAAGTCAAGATCAGATTGACCTGGGCCCACATAATCAATACAACTGAGTTAAAACTGGGACTGTATAAATATTCTCAATAATAAAAATTGCAAATTGCCTCAAGTACCCACAAGCTCTTCAAGGGCAATTATGTATTCAGATGAACCTAATCTTTTTCAAAATTGTTCACTATAACTTCACCCTCACTGCAAGAACTGGGCCTGCCTTAGAGGCATACTTAGCCTTTGCTAAGCAGGTAGTTTGGACCTCATTTGAAAATCATGAGAACCATGTTTATGGTTCCATGAACCTTTTTCCGTGCATTCTCAGAAATTGCTAAGCCTACAAAATTTCATCTCAGGATCTCTACAGCTAATGAGGGCAAAGCTAGGGACACTTTATACCTTGCTTAAAGGACTTTGAGGCTGCACTGAACATGTGAACCCCAACATCTAAAGTGTACTAAGGAAAGACCAGATATATTTTAATAGTGATTAAGAATAAGATTTTACACAGATTAGAAAAGCAGGTGAGGATCACTGGGCTCAGGGTAAAAGGCAGTTCATATAAAACAGACAGACATGAATAGCACTTTGAAAGGTCGAGTATGTAAAAGACATTCGCAAGAAGTGGAAAGATAGGACAGGCAAATAGTGGAATGTTTATATAGATTTTTATATTTGGTCTTATTAACATTTTCAATGAACAATATCTCATGAACATACATTAAGTTAATTATAATTAAAATTATGTGTACTCATATGCACACAGTATATATCGGGTCATTGGAAAAATCATGATGTATTTTTCTATATTCTTCTATGCAAAAATGTGTTATAACTTTTCCAATAGTTTTATGAACATAGTTATATTATGATAAATAAGTAATTATAATTAAGGTGGCCATACATCCCAGTTTGCCCAAGATGGTCCAGGTGTTATTATCTGGACAATAAACTCTAGTATCCCCCTACTTAAAATGTAGTTACAGAAGTCATTTTTTTTTTTTTGTCTATCAAGCCCTGACAGTATACTAAACCCAATGCTAAATGCTGGAGGTGCAAAGATAGAAGAAAGCAACCTTCTCTGAAGGTTCATATTTTATAGAGAAGTGATACAGAGAGAAATTAATATTCAAGGACATACTATAGAAAAGTATATTCAAAAAGTAGAGAATGAAGTCATTACAAGAACCTAGTCACTTATTCTCCCTGGAGGTGTCATGAAAGAGGTTGGAGGGGACCTTGGGTGAAGTCAACACCCCTAAGTTTGCAACCTTTTGCCCTGCTGATCATCAGGAGATAATTCCAGCCACAAAAGGGAAGCCCACGAGTTCCTAAGGCATGTGATGGAAATGAGTACAGTTCAGAGCACCACCGGGAACAGCCTAGGAACAAGTAAAGCCCAGGAGCAGCCAGGTACCAATCCCACGTTGACACAGTAGCTAGGTCGGTCCCTGTTTCTGTCTCTGTCTTCAATTTCACTCATATATTGATGTCACCAGAAAGACTAAACATCGGACTTGTTGCTTTTTGTTTTATCTGTTTTGTTTGCATTTTTTCAGCCAACCTAACAATAACCTCGGACCCAATTTCTGTTTCTGAGGGACAAAACTTTATATTCTTCTATGCAAAAATGTGTTATAACTTTTCCAATAGTTTTATGAACATAGTTATATTATGATAAATAAGTAATTATAATTAAGGTGGCCATACATCCCAGTTTGCCCAAGATGGTCCAGGTGTTATTATCTGGACAATAAACTCTAGTATCCCCCTACTTAAAATGTAGTTACAGAAGTCATTTTTTTTTTTTGTCTATCAAGCCCTGACAGTATACTAAACCCAATGCTAAATGCTGGAGGTGCAAAGATAGAAGAAAGCAACCTTCTCTGAAGGTTCATATTTTATAGAGAAGTGATACAGAGAGAAATTAATATTCAAGGACATACTATAGAAAAGTATATTCAAAAAGTAGAGAATGAAGTCATTACAAGAACCTAGTCACTTATTCTCCCTGGAGGTGTCATGAAAGAGGTTGGAGGGGACCTTGGGTGAAGTCAACACCCCTAAGTTTGCAACCTTTTGCCCTGCTAATCATCAGGAGATAATTCCAGCCACAAAAGGGAAGCCCACGAGTTCCTAAGGCATGTGATGGAAATGAGTACAGTTCAGAGCACCACCGGGAACAGCCTAGGAACAAGTAAAGCCCAGGAGCAGCCAGGTACCAATCCCACGTTGACACAGTAGCTAGGTCGGTCCCTGTTTCTGTCTCTGTCTTCAATTTCACTCATATATTGATGTCACCAGAAAGACTAAACATCGGACTTGTTGCTTTTTGTTTTATCTGTTTTGTTTGCATTTTTTCAGCCAACCTAACAATAACCTCGGACCCAATTTCTGTTTCTGAGGGACAAAACTTTTCTATAAAATGCATGAGTGATGTGAGTAACTATGATGAGGTATACTGGAACACTTCTGCTGGAATTAAAATACATAAAAAGTTTTATACCACGAGGAAGTATCCTGATGGAGCTGAGTCAATACTGACAGTCAAGACCTCTACCAGGGAGTGGAACGGTGAGTGAAGCGCAGACCCCTGGGTCCTAGAAACAGAAAATTATAGTGACTATCCAGGGAGCTGCGCTGGGACATGCTGCCGGCTACTTTACCTTAAATATGTCTTCACGATTAATGAATTGTACTGATGTGGAAACTGAGGCTCAGAGAATATGCCCAAGCTTATACAAAGTACACTGTAGAGCCAGCATGGGAACTAGTCTCTCTGATTCCAGAGCTCTTGTCATTAAGAGGATATTTTAAAATTTATTTATTTCTTCTGAGAGAGGGTAGCACTCTCTACTGGGTCTGGCCGAACCTTTCAGAACCTTACAAGGTGGGTCAGCCCCACAGACTGTCATGTTTTACTGCTACACCATCAGCCAGCCCCCAAGAGGATTGTTTTTAGAAATACCTGTACTAGACTCTTAGGAGTATTTCACCTCACTGCTGTAAAAAAACTAGAAGAAATTTTCACATGTCTGGTTCCAAAGAAGAACCATGTTAATTTCTTATTTATCTTTCTACACTGTTCATGATAGGAGGAAATGCAAATCTCTGAAGGCAAAGAAGATTTGCTAGAACTGCCTCAACAATAGCTAACATTTACTGAACTTCTATTATATGATGAGCACAGTGCTAAGTATTTAAATGTACTAATTCATTTAAAACAACAAACCTAAAGGATAGTGCTATTAGTATCTCCATTTTACAGATAAAGAAACTGAGACCCATGAGGTTAAGTAAATTATCCAACATTACACGTGGTAAATGGTAGAAGCAGGATACAAACCTAGATTTGTCTGGCTCCAGTAGTCAACTCAAGCTCTTCACTCTGAAGCCTTTCATTATCTACAAAGTTAAAAGGTCCAGCTTATGTGAGTCCCATGTCTTCTTTATTTTGTTTTTATATAAGACCTAAGCAACATTATAGAAATTATTGCTTGATCCGGACTTGTTTGTTTCCAGTCAAGAAGTGGAATATTTTTCTCCCATACTGACTTCACACTTACTCTGTCAATTTAGTCTTTCCTAGTGCTGGACACTCTACTAGAAGCCTTAGTTTTTATAATCACATTAAACTATTTAACAGTCCCATATTAGGCTACTGAAAAAAAAATCTAGTCTCATTTAAATCTATTATACTTTTATTTGATATTGAATTTAAAGTCTTCTTCCCTCCCAACAGGAATTGAAAGTTTTTTCCTCCCCTTGCTCTGTTTCTTTTCCTTCTGAAAAATTGTTGCTCTGGCTCCTAAAAGGGCAAAATAAGAAATGTAAAGAAAGTGTACATTTATCAGACTTAATTATAGGATGCCATTATAATCTTGATATACTGTCTCCATAGCAGTGGTTCAAGTAGTGGCTTGTCCTGGTGTCCACTGGAGGGACCTGCTCCCTTAGAGATGAGGAGAGAGGCATGTCATCAGGCCACCAAGCTCTATCAAATGAACAACGCTTTGTAAAAACAAACAGACAAAAACAGAACAAAACAAAAAAAAATTCCCCATTCCTGAACATATCAAAATTCTAATATATTCCTGGGTTGATGAAACAGCTTTGGAGTAGGAATCTAATACCTTGTTTGAAACTTGATTTCTTGGGACCAGCAGTTGGCGTAATGGCTATGTCACTGGACTCCCATAAAGTCGACCGCAGTTTGAGTCTTGGACTCGGTGGCTTAAATTCATGCCAGATGCGTGTACATGCGTTCCCAAGATCCTGAGAGAGAATGGAGGAGAAGCGATTGCAGCGTGGCCATCCCCCCTGGGGGGTGATTTCTTGCTTTCTGTCTCTCTGTCTCTCTCTGTCGTTCTGGTGAGCACACATGCCCTACAGCAAAAACCTCTCAAAAAAAGAAAAGAAACTCGATTTCTCCCCTAACAGGCTGTATGACCTTGGATAAATGACATAACTGGAAAGTAAATGTTTATTTAAATGGCCATTAGTTAGTCTTTCAGATACATAGGGAACACAGGAGGACGGCTGATTAATCATTTTCTCTGCCCATGTGCAGGCAGGCATGTGTGTTATGCCCTGACCCAAGCATGAAAAGAAAAACTGAGCATCTTCTTAACATTCCCCACAAATGCCTTTTAAAAGGAATTGTTTCATGCCATCTCATTTTTGCTCCTTCCCACTCAGGAACCTATTACTGCATATTTAGATATAAGGATTCATACAGTGTCGTGACCAAGGATGTCACCGTTTACCCGCTGCCTCTAGAGTCCGACATCATGGTCGACCCTCTGGAAGCTAGCACTTCATGCAGAGGTTCCCACCTGTTCAAGTGCTGCATAGAGGAAGACGGAAACTACAAAGTAACTTTCCAGGTCGATTCCTTGTCCTTTCCTGCTGGTAAGATGCTGACTGCTGAAATGGTAGGGTATTTTATTTTATATAAATGGAGCCTAAAAATTTACTCTCAAAAGAGGGATCAAGAAATTTAGGGACTAGGTCAGAAACAGAATGTAACAGAGCAGAAACACATGAGGCCTGATTACCTTCTGTTTGGCTACGTGGTTATCAGCTTATTGATTTGTGGCAACATCTCGGGGCTCTGTGGGTATGAAGTCCATTCCTTTTAGTGGGTGCTGTTGAAGATGGTATTAAGATATCGCCACAGAATTCCTACTTCTTTAATATGGCAGATTAGATATGCTGATAGTTCCTGCCTCCATGCTAGGAAGTAGCAGGTTATGAAAGTGTCACAAAAATCATTTTAAATGCATATTTTAGCAAGCAAGAAAGTGAGAAAAATAACCAAATGCCATAGAGGAAAGGAAAGTGGAAGTGATGCTTTAGCTAATGCTGAGACTTCCTTGCAGTCATTTGTCAGTATCAGAAACCCAGAACCTTGGCTTTTAAAGCAAAGAAGAAAAGACTTTGTTCCTCAAGCATTAGTAGCTGAGGCACCTCTACCCAACCTGTGCAATGTCAGGACCTTCAAAGGGTGGCATGCTCAGTAAAAGTGCAGGCTAGAAAAAAAAAATCCATCTGCCAGGGATAAAGGTTCAGCTTTATCTCTGAGTAAGCAAAAACTTCCCCTTGATAATTACAATCATCCTGTCCTGCCTACGTGGTTCAGGAACTCCAAACTGAGGTGTAAACTAGTTCAAAGTTATTTATTGGTGAGCACTTTGCATTTGACCAAAAAAAAAAAAAAATCTTCTCTGGTAGGATGTACCCTCAGTCCAGCTCCCTCAGGATTCCCAGACATTGAGGTCAACCAAAGATGAGCTCACAACTCCAAATCGCAAAACACGGACACCTTCATGAGAGATTTACAAGCTCTTTCATTTTTCTAATAACTAATCGTGGGGACTTGCTCAGGGCAAAACACCATAATAGGAAATGAAAGGCAGACAAAAGATGGGGGCACATATTTTAACATCAGAAAGGGTCTACGTCATGAAAGACAATGTATGCAACATTAAATGACTAACACAGATTGAAAGAACAATGGAAGTTCAGAAACACGGAGGTCCAATAAAGACTGGAGTGTACAGAGAAAGCTGCAGGGTAGGGGAAAACGGAATCAATCTGAATATTGAAATATCAAACACTTTAATGTTCTGCGTTCAGCATACATTCATTCAGTGCTTCCTATGTGCCAGACACAGCTAAGCACTGGGAGATGCAAAGATAAATAAGACCAGGTACTTTTTTTCTAGGCATTTATGGTCTAATGGAGAAGGCAAATCCATAAAGATGTGACTCTAAACCAATGTGATGAAGGCAGGATAGGATAAATGCATAGCTCTCCTCAGTAGCATGGTGGGATTCAGAGAGGCAGAGGGATGCTGAAAAGGCATGACTGTCAAAAATATGTGGGCAAAGACTTGGAGTCCTGATTGGTAGAAGTGAGTTCTGGCTAGCACACACACAAATATGGACCAATGTACTTCTAAGAGCCAGAGACAAAACCATATGAATATGTAAAACTACACTATGTGGCACGTTCCTGGGGAAAGTTTGGACAGGTTTATTCACATTAGATCATCTTTGAACACACATGTTATGACTTAATTCTTTCAATAACTCTATCTTCAGCAAAAGAAATTCATGGAAAACAAGTATGCTACAAGTTCAATTTCATGGCAAACTTCATTTCCCTTTGTCAAAAAACTGTTGATGTGTTTTGTCGCTTTACCAATGCTGCTAATAATTCAGTTCGGAGTCCATCTATGAAGCTTGACCTAGTTCTTGGTAAGAGTTTTAAATTATTTTAAATGTTACAGTCAGAAGCACAAACTACTTACTCATTCACTTCCTAATTAATGTATTCAATAAATACATGTTAATTAATTTATTTGATAAATACATGTTAAACACCCTTCAGTATGGCAAGTCTTGGGCTCACCATGTGGGATTTATAAAGAAATAAGCCACATTCCCTAGTTTTAAGCCTAGGGGAGAGAGAGATGACTTAAAAAGTACAAAACTACCGATGTGAGGATTCAGAAGAGGCTTCCTGGTTTAACTTTGCTGATGGTAGGTGGGGAGGACATGAACAAGACAGCCAGTAGCAGCACGAAATCATGCGTTAGTGGAGTCTGGGAGGCTTGGCAGGGCACCAAGCCGATAAGGGTGGACGCTATCTGTGTGTGGTTGACAGATTGAGGTTCCAGCAAAGGAAGGGTGTCCCCACTAGCACTGTTTTCTCAGACAGGCCCACATTGAAAATAATTGATCTAAAAAAACAGGCAACTGCCTTTCCCATCCCTTGCTGTCACTGAGCCAATGTGCCCTCACATAATAGCTTCAAGGTCAAAGATCATGATTTGTGGGGCTATTTCTGTAAGAGCACATATTGGAGAACTCTCTCCAATAGCAACAGAAGGGCAAAGGAACAAATAATGATCCTGGGCATCCCATAAACAGATGCTCCAGCCCTCCTAAATCTTCCCGGTACCAGAACCCCTGGTACATGAAGGACTCATAGCTCTATCTCCACACCTGTTTGAGTTTACTGAATGATTTGTGGTCATCCTCACATGTGTTGGTAACTGGACACCAAAGCAGGAAGCAATTTAGAGTTTCCTGTCTCTCTGAGTCACTGTCGCTTGACTTTGCCAAGCATAGCCCCTCCAGGTGGCAGTAACAGTCACCTCCTCATTGTCTCCCCATGTTAGCCCAGGTATCAACATGTTTTATTCACTTATTCTGCTCCTCTTCTTTATACCAAATCTTCTTCCTCTTCCTTTTCCTATGTAACATTATTTATTTCGAGATTTTCTACAGTGGTAAATATTAATGCTAAGTAAAACTGTTGGATGTAGTAAGTAGGCCTTAATGTTGGCATTTTATTTTAAATTTTATTTATTATTATTGTTTAATTTGACCAGAAAGAGAGATAGAAAGATAGTGAGAAAGCAAGCCACCAGGTCCAGACCTTGAACCATGGTCTACCATGATCGGTCTTGTGGGAGTTCAGCACCTTAACCACCACACAACCTGCCAGCCCCATTTTTTTTTCTTTTTTGCCAGAGGGCACATGCACTCACCAGAGGGTGAATGAAAGCACCCTCCATGGGGTGTGGTCAATTCTTTTCCTTCTATTCCTCCATTCTGGATGGAAACTGGCCATTCATATGCACCTTGTGTGGTTGTTAGGCTGTCAGGGCTAGAATTCAAACCATGGTAGGTGTGTGGGATCTGACTTACTATGCATGGGATTTAACCACTGTGCTACAGGGCCAGTCTGACACTGGCATTGTCAAAATGTTCCCAAGTGATTCTAATATGCCATGGTTGGGAATCCCTATAGTAAAGCATAAGTTCTGTTAGGGAAAGCAAGTACAGGTTATGGAAGTGAGCAGAAAGCTTTGAGGGGCTTTGGAAAGTAAGAAGCAACATTTTTAATTGTGGAACTCTAAAAGGTCACCAAAGAGAAATCTGAATTCAAACACCAAAGTTCACCTAGGTTTGCCCATATTTCCATTGTTTTCTTCTCATTTCAATTGTCTCATTTATTTCCATGTTTCCGATGTAGGAGAGAATATCACATGCCATGATCCCATAATAGGTGTTGGGGAGTCTGGGAAAGTCACCAAAAGACTATGCCAGTTCTCAAATATCCCCAGCAGCCCTGGAAGTCCCATTGGTGGAATCATCACTTACAAATGTGTGGGCTCCCGGTGGATGGTGAACAGAAATGACTGCATCTCTGCCCCAATAAACAGTCTGCTCCGGATGGCCAAGGTGACCCTTAAACTTTTGACTCTGAGTTCCTGGGGGGGAGGTCCATCTGGCAAATCGTATTTCGTAGTACTTCTTAGCACCTTGTGCTGGTTTGTGTTGCTCTATGAGTTACTTTTATTTATTGATTTCCAAAGAGATACAGCCTTAAAAATGCTTCAAATCATATATGAAGATAACAGTGTATGTGTTCTGCCCTAGGCCTAGCTGGATACCTTAACCTTGACTTCTCTACCTGCAAGGGGAAGTGGTATTAACCTCTCCGTTACCGCTTTCCTTTGAATGATTTTGATATCAGATAGGTATAATTTTTTCAGAAATAGAAACAATACAAACAACAATATTTACCCATTTTTTAAACTTCTTTTTATTATTAAGGTTTTTGTTGGAAAGAGAAGTGAAAGGGAAAGTGGGAAATCACTTCACAGGGGGATGGCCATGATGCATTTCCTTCTCCTCCATTCTTTTCCTAGGATTTTGGGTACACATATACACATAGCCAGCATGATTTTTAAGCTGCCAGGTCCAGGACTCAAGCAGTGGCTGGCCATGTGGGAGTCTAGCGCCTTAACCATCTGCCACCTGCTAGTCTCTAGTGTTTATTCATTTTTGAAGAGTAGTTGAGCCTTATGTTTTTACTTGTCTGATATCTCCTCAGTCCTTAGAGGTAAGCTACTTCTGAAGAAGGGATTACCTTGCCTCTCTTGTCTAGAACAGAGCTTAGGTTACTACTAGATATTAGGGAGGAATTCCTTTCTGCTTATCAGAAAAATAATCACCTCTACATTTAATTTGAGTAGATTAGACACTCCTAGAACTCCATGAACTATAATAATTAGATACTGGTGATACAACTAATGTGATTATAGCTAATGGCAACATCTTCAGATAATCAATTTCAAATATGCTCACTACTTGGAAGAAGGGTTGAGGAAAAAAGGCAATTCTGGATTGTATTATATCTAATTAACATCTGTCCGTTTTTCTGTCTTACATCAAATTTGTTTAAATACCTGTTATATGCAAAGCTTTATTATAGATGTTGTCAAGGCAAAAAGGTCAAATCAGAATTTAGTTTGTTATTTGATAAAGAATATAATCTAGTTGGGTTGTTATAAACACATTAGTTTGGGCTAGGATATATCAAGAGATTCTGCTTTAAAAACTTGGCATCTCAGTTGAACCTCGATGGATGAAGCATGGAAGATATACATTTTCCTAGTCAAGAAGAATGGAATAATTATTTGAACTCTGTGTGGGCCCTGGTCCCAGCTCTCGGTTCCTCGGTACATTTTCAGTGGAAAAGGATTATACTGGTCTATCATAATCCATGTGATCCTTTCAACATGTATTATTGAACTATATGCCAAGTTATATAACTTGTACTAAATTGCAAATTTTGGAACATGAGAAGGATACTAAGAAAAAAAAAATTTTTTTAACATGTAGTCCACACTGTTAAGGAGCTTAAAACTTACTTGGAGAGATACAGAAATTAAAACACATTAGTGGAGATGTAAAGTAAAATTTAAGCTTATTCTTTAATTATAAGTAGAAATTAGAACATTATGGGACCAGCAGTTAGCGTAATGGCTATGTTGCTGGACTCCCATGTAGTCGACTGCGGTTCGAGTCCTGGACCCAGTGGCTTAAACTCACACCGGGCACATGTGCATGCGTGCCCAAGATCCCGAGAGGAGAATGGAGGAGAAGGGATTGCGGCGTGGTCATCCTCCCTGGGGGGTGATTTCTTGCCTTCTGTCTCTCTCTCTCTCTCTCTCTCTATCTATCTATCTCTCTTTCTGG